GACAGGCAGGTTAGGGTTAGGGCTGCTGGCTGCGCAGATGACAGGCAGGTTAGGGATAGGGCTGCTGGCTGCGCAGGCGACAGGCAGGTTAAACAGGTCAAAGCCGAGTTTGTGTTGGTGTGGTCTGTGGCCAGGGCCTCGGCGTGTCACCGTGCAGCCGACGTCTTCTGTGCCGCACTTCTGTCGCCGTGCCATCAGTTTCGCAAGTGTCACCTGCTCAGGGGGCACACAGCTCCGCAGCGATTTTGTGGGGGCTGAGTCGATGCCGCCCCCCCCCCCCACACACTGCAAGAGGGAGAGAGCGAGTGTATGCCACGTCCGTCCGTATACGTGCCACCCAAACCCGCCCCCGAAATTTCACAGGAGATGGGAGGCTTCACAGAATGGGGTATATGTGTTTGAACGGGGTATATGTGTATGAATGGGGTATATGTGTTTGAACGGGGTATATGTTTTTCACCTTCAGTATATTATTCAGTACATTACATAAGATATTCAACATTTTATTATAAAATAGGCTTTGTTTGAATGATTTTACCCAACTGCAGGCTAATGTAAGCATGTTTACAAGATAGGCTAGGCTTTGTTAGCTTAGGTGTACTGTATTAAAATGCATTTTCACCTTACGATATTTTCACCTCACAATAGGTTTATCGGAACGTGACCCCATCGTAACCTGGGAGAGGCTGTAATGTGGAACCTTACACATTACGCATTTAAGGGTGCACTTAAACAAACCAATGATAATAAAGTTATTATTATTACTATATATAGGGTGACATGGTGCTTCGCACTATTGCCTTGTTCTCTACTTTCTCCCAACAGTCCAAAGACATGCCGTTAGACTAATCGGTTTCAGACTTGTCTCTAGTGTGCATACCTGCGCTGTGATAGACTAGCATCCCACCCAATGTGTTCCCCACTTTGTGCCCTGTGCTGTCAGGAATATGCTCTAGGCCTCCCCCTGCTGGCCGTGACCCAGACATGCATGAGCGGTGAGAAGATGGTTATATAACCAATCACCATAGTAATACTACTAATAATACTCTCTTAGCAGATTGGCTAATCTTACTGTCTACACTTGTAAATGAAATCAATGAGATGAATTCTCATAGAACTGGAAAGTTAGAGGTATAAGTTTCTGGGCCAATCACATTCCTGTGAGGGCGTACTTCTTAGCTTAGCATGGCTGCTTCTGCAATTCAGCCTCTTAGAGGGTGTTTCATTTAGATTTTTGGTCTGGGGTCTCGGGACATTGCAATAAAAGGAAACAGGTGTTTAGACGTCGAATCCAAATCTTGGTCTCCAAAAAGAACTTACATAGCTCTGTCCTTTCATCATTCAGTTTTTTTAAGCAGTCATTTGACATTGGTGCAACTGTGGCCAGTCTGTAACACCATAAAACAGTTGCACTCCTGGTTACCGAAGTGTGGAAAATCACCAGAACTTTTTGATATTTGTGACATGACACAAAAGGAAAAAAAAAACACACAAAAGCTCTCAGAACCATATGTTCCGCAGTATCGTTCCCGGAATTACAAATAAAGTTGTCGGTCAAGTGACGGACTGCTTTGTGAGAGGCAGGGGCATTACTGAATACCGAATTACAGGGGTATGTATGTACTATTGAATAAGTAACCAGAGAGATAATTTATATTAGGAATAACTTCAATTGTATATTTGTTCACACTGGATTTCATAGGATGTATATCTGAAGGATATACTTATATAGGCATAGACGACTCGGGTGAAAATGGTATTTGAACATATTAAAGTTCAGTAAAATTATGTTTGAAAGTGTGGTTTGTGTTCATCATATCAATATGTAATAATTTATTATGCATCCTCTGGGAGAAAAGCTCAGAGTCCCCTTTGACTTGAGGTGTTTGTGTGTGTGTGTATATACACATATATACACATATAAACAATCTCTCAATCTCATTAGTATATACATGTCACTGGAATGGTTTAGCACCAAAGGATGAATGCTGTGTTCTGCAGGTGCCAGGGGCCAGGGGAACAACCTCAGCTCACTCTAAGTCTATATCCTGCATGTGTAGGTTTGTCATGGATTCTGCAGCCTCCTGTCATGAATTGTACTGTCACAGCATGCGGAGGTGGAGGCACAAACAGTTGCACACACGCGCATGCAAACTGCAGCACCCATGTCTTGCACTATGCAAAATACGTGCATAAACACAGATGCGCAATTACATCCTTGATTGCGTTTTGTTTTAAATGTCCCGCATACTCTGCTTCTTCTTTAATTGGCTTTTTTTAATTTTGAGAATTGTTTGGTGAATTGAAACAGAATCTAATTTGTTATTAAATGTTAGAATCGACAACTGAGTACAAACCTAGTGTTTGCGCGTGTGTGGATATGTATGGAAAAGAAGCGTTTCCCTCAAGCTTGCTCTGTACGGTTCAGCGTTTACAAAAGCAGGCATGTAATTGGCATCCAAAGCACCATGCTGCACGTAATCCTCTTCACCGGTTCCTAACATGCTGCGGACACGAAACTCCCCAAACGCTCTCATCATTCCAACAATCACCACTTGTCCGCAAGCACTTTAATATAGCAACATAATTCATTAATGTTCTTTTCCAAAAGAAACGTTTTCTGAGTGTGAAGTGCCCCTCGCAGCAGAAGAGCTGTCGGGGAACGCCTCCCGCCCGGCTGAGGCGCTAAACGGTTTGCCAAAGTCAGATCAGGGCAGTCAAGACGACAAATACAAATCAACGGCTCAACACTGTGGTATCATGGGCGACCCGACAGGCGAACAGCAGAGCAGGAGCAGGGTGAGCCTGCAGATATGTCCTCCAACGCGGCCGTGACCGCGACCCTGCAGGTACGCCCTCCAACGCGGCCGTGACCGCGACCCTGCAGGTACGCCCTCCAACGCGGCCGTGACCGCGACCCTGCATGTACGCCCTCCAACGCGGCCGTGACCCTGCAGGTACGCCCTCCACGGCGGCCGTGACCGCGACCCTGCATGTACGCCCTCCAACGCAGCCGTGACCCTGCAGGTACGCCCTCCACGGCGGCCGTGACCGTGACCCTGCAGGTACGCCCTCCAACGCGGCGGTGACCGTGACCGTGACCGTGACCCTGCAGGTACGCCCTCCACGGCGGCCGTGACCGCGACCCTGCAGGTACGTCCTCCAACGCGGCCGTGACCGTGACCGCGACCCTGCAGGTACGCCCTCCACGGCGGCTGTGTTGCATATGCTGTCAAAATATAGATTCATTTGATCTGACTGTTTTCATTTTTCATCAGTGTGATTTGGGACTTCGCCATCTTGCTCATTTGATTTCCTCTGCCGGCCCCTGGAGGATGGGCTCCCCCTTTTGATTCTTTTTCCTCCCGAGGTTTCTTCCTTCTAGGGAGTTTTTCCTTGCCACTGCCACCTCTGGCTTGCTCACTGAGGGCTGTGGGTGGGGATGCTGTAAAGCGCTTTGAGACAAATAATGTAATGTTGTGAAAATGCGCTATACAAATAAAACTAAATTAAACTGAAATTGAATTTTTGAGAATCGGTCCTAACGTTAAAACATCGATATTTTTTATTTGATTTGATCACTCAAATGTTTAAATTATTATAAGGTGCAGGATGTTAACTACTACCGGGCAGGGCCGCCCATAAAGGGAGAGAAAAGAAAACGGGTCCGGACACTCGGGAAATTAAACGACCGATCCGCCAGCACAGCACCGCCATCGGCACCCCCATAGGTAAGCTTTATAGTCGGGGCTGGGCTGAATTTTGCGATCAGCGATACCAACCTTGTATCGAATCAAATAAGAAGCTCGCGTCTCGTGCTGAGTGACGGGAATCGCCGGTGCACTCCGGGGTCAAAGGTCATGTAAACGCAGCCGGGTTTATCTATTTATTAATCTATATTTAAAAACTTACACTTTCCAGAACTGGGGCAAACCTATTTGTGCTGATTAAAGTGGACATTTCGCAGCTAAGCAGACAGAACTACGCTTCTCTGCCTACTTCTAATGTGGTATATTTTCCCTCGATCATAACCCGCATTGTGTCATAGCTCCAGAACAGACAGCGATTCCCCAGCACCCTGGGACCCCGGCAGCGGGCTGCCCTGCCTCCAGGTGATGAAACGCGTCGATTGGTGGAGCGCAACGTCTGTCACCGCAGGCGACCAATGAGGTGCGTGAGCCCGACGAGCCCCAGGGAGGTGCTGAGGCACCGGCGAGCGGAGGCGACATGGCCGCTGTTAACTGCCTTTCCCCAAATTGTACCAATTATGTTCGGTCTCCGTGGAGCTGCCGCCATTACCAGCCGAGTCGTTCGGGTTCTGAGTTTTGTGGTTTAAAAGACGAATGGTATTTTATCCATGTAATTGTGACCTTCCGTTATCGTTTTATGAACCATCGTTTTGCACCGCTAATTAATAAAAACGCAACTTAACATTTCACAGAAAAAGAGGCCCTGACTGTTACTGTCATATAATATCGCATATGAGACAACGGAAAAGAAATGAACAAATATGTAAATTCGTTATTCTTGGGCTTGTGCGTGTACCTTAAATATCCATTTATCATTACATGTATACATGTATTTTTTGCAAAACTGGGACACAACAAATCGGTGCTTAAGCTAAAGCTTTTCCCGGCACCTCCGTCCTTCATCCCTTTATCCTGTGAGTGACTCAAAATTCAAATCGAACAGCGGGAATTAATAGGATCTTGGTATTTGGGGACAGCGTGATCCTAAACCGCCCTGCCCAGCCCGTGCCAGGGCCCTCAACTTCGCCAGCACCCAGGCTCTGGTCTATTGCCAGGCACACAATATGGACCTGTCACATCCACGGGGACATCATGGACTTATGGGATAATGCACGTTATGAGAGGATGCTACGTAAACAGTGCATAATGTTTAATTCATTTAAAGCTCTCTGGTTTTTTTTTTAATAGTCATCCTGTCATACAGGTAGGGATCTGCGATTAAGGAAAGTTATATCCTGTGTATTACATGATGAGACACCTTTACCTTTGTTTCCTTCCAACCCCCCCGATTCCAGCACCCCTCCACCACCCACCCTGTGGTGGGGAGCGCAGCTGGCCTGAACCGGTGCCATATCTGCGATGGACTGAGGCGGATGTAGCAGCGGATTGGAAAAGGCTTAATCGCCACACAGGCCACATGTGAGCACTCGATAAGATGGCCGTCCTGCTCTCGTGCCAGGTTTGCCATTCCCATCCTCCGTGCTCCGGGGGGAAGGGTTGGGGGGGGGGGGGGGGGGCAGTGCGCGAACAGGAAAGGAGCGACTCCCATCCCCTGGAACCCAATAAAATATATTTTTTTGGGGGGGAGAAGGGGCACACTAGGTATATTGTCACTCTGTTATTCATTCAGTGGCAGAAATGCCTGCTCTTGTCAGCACCGACTTCTGCATTTCTGGCACGTATCTTATTGTACATTTTTTTAAAGTGGTTACCAGTGTTACCGGTATCCCGTCCAGGGTGTCACCTGCCTTGTGCCCTGGGATAGAATGTAGGCTCTTGGTGATCAGAGGTTGGATAAATGGTATAGAGGATGGATGGATGGGTATTTTTTACATTCAGCAACAATTCAAATTTTGAGATAAATCTAAAATTAAACCTAAGTGGTTAGGGTGGTTACTGTAAGAGGGACCCAGTCACTAATAATAATAATAATAATAATAATAATAATAATAAGCCTCTGTTTTGTGGCTCCGCTCAGACTACACTCCCCCCCGGGCTGCAGGTGTCGCCCTCCTCCTGACCCAGTGCCCGTTTTGCTCCCCTGGCTTTTCCCCCCCTGCTGACCCCGAAGCAGCTGTCTTTCGCTTTCACTTTCCCCCCCCCCCCCCCCCCCCCCCGTGGCTGCCCA